GAAAAAAAACAGTTAATTTAAGAAGGGAGATCACTAAGATGTGATCACGGAGATGTGGTTCGTTCTTTGAGAAAAGTTACTTAAACATCTGCCTGTTAAGTCATAATGATAAGGTAGTTAATGAGCAGCTTGGAAATTAGTAGTAGTACTTTCATTCATTCAGATAGTTCTAAGTAGCTTTAATTATTTTAAGGGGGCGAGAAAAAGAATAATTGTTCTAAGGAAAGCAATCAAGTTTTAAACCAGGACATTGCCACATACCCACATATTATGAAATGCAGTATATATTCACATTTTCTTAGACTTGTTAGAGTTGGAAATCATTGTGGTATGAAATTAAGGCTCTTCGGACATTTGTAAGGAAATTCTTAAAAAAAAAATTCTGTGAACAAATAAAAGGCTGGCCAGAATTTTAGTTATTTCACAGAGAGGGTTATATTAGATATCTGATTTAAAGGAAGTTATTGTTTCATATTTATCTGTATTATTTAATATTATATTATATGTTTTAATCTATTTATGGTATTTTATCTCAGGATTTTAGTGATTGTCTATGCTTTATCTATTTAAATAGACAATTATTATGTCAAAGTTTTAGTTATTCATGAGGCTTTATCCATTTATATGAATATCATTTCAAGGTTGTAGCTATTTTACTATACTTTATCCATTTATATAAATGTTTTAGCTATTTTACTATACTTTATCCATTTATATCAAAGTTTTAGCTATTTTACTATACTTTATCCATTTATTTAAAAGTTTTAGCTATTTTACTATATAATACTTTATCCATTTGTTTTAAAGTTTTAGCTTTTTTATCCATTTATACAACTATTATATCAAGGTTTTAGCTATTTTACCATGCTTTATTCATTTATACATTTGTTATTTCAAGGTTTTAGCTATATTTCCATGCTTTATTATCCCCCGCCGAAATTTCCCCCGCCGAAAAATTTCGGCGGAGGATATAGAAATAGTCTCCGTCCGTCCTTCCGTCCTTCCTTCCGTCCGTCCGTCCTTCCGTCCGACATTTTTGTCCGGAGCATATCTCTAAAAGTATTTGAGTTATCAACTTGAAACTTCATAGGTGGATAGACCTCATTGAGGAGGAGTGCAGTGCACAAGAATGATAACTCTACCTTGCATGATTTTTGAGTTATTGCCCTTTGTTATTTTTCAAAATTGATTTTTGTCCAGAGCATAACTCCAAAAGCCTATGAGATATTAACATGAAACTTCATAGGTGCATAGATCTCACTCAGGAGGTGTGCAGTGCACAAGAATGATAACTCTACCTTTCATAATTTTTGAGTTATTGCCCTTTGTTATTTTTCATACCTAATTTTTCACCTGAGTGGAGCATAACTCAAAAAGTGTTTGAGATATCAACATGAAATGTCATAGGTGGATAGATCTTATTGAGGAGGAATGTTGTGCGCAAGAATGATAACTCTTCCCTATACAATTTTTGAGTTATTGCCCTTTTTTTTTTCATGCTATTTTGTCCAGAGCTTATCTCAAAAAGTATTTGAGGTATCAACTTGAAACTTCAAATGTGGATGGATCTCATTGAGGAGGAGTGCAGTGCTTAAGAATGATAACTCTACCCTGCATTATTTTTGAGTTATTGCCCTTTGTTATTTTTCAAAATTAATTTTTGTCCAGAGCATAACTCCAAAAGCCTATGAGATATTAACATGAAACTTCATAGGTGCATAGATCTCACTCAGGAGGTGTGCAGTGCACAAGAATGATAACTCTACCTTTCATAATTTTTGAGTTATTGCCCTTTGTTATTTTTCATACCTAATTTTTCACCTGAGTGGAGCATAACTCAAAAAGTGTTTGAGATATCAACATGAAATGTCATAGGTGGATAGATCTTATTGAGGAGGAATGTTGTGCGCAAGAATGATAACTCTTCCCTATACAATTTTTGAGTTATTGCCCTTTTTTTTTTCATGCTATTTTGTCCAGAGCTTATCTCAAAAAGTATTTGAGGTATCAACTTGAAACTTCAAAGGTGGATGGATCTCATTGAGGAGGAGTGCAGTGCTTAAGAATGATAACTCTACCCTGCATTATTTTTGAGTTATTGCCCTTTGTTATTTTTCAAAATTAATTTTTGTCCAGAGCATAACTCAAAAAGCCTTTGAGATATCAAAATGAAACTTCATAGGTGCATAGATCTCACTCAGGAGGTGTGCACTGCACAAGAATGATAACTCTACCTTTAATAATTTTTGAGTAATTGCCCTTTGTTCTTTTTCATACTTAATTTTTCAATTCAATTTTTTTCTCAAAAAGTATTTGAGGTATCAACTTGAAACTTCATAGGTGGATAGATTTTACTGAGGAGGGATGCAGCACACAAGAATGATAACCTACCCTGCATTATTTTTCAGTAATTGCCCTTTGTTATTTTCAGCTATCAGTATTCACATAGGTTTCAAATCTGTAATCACTATAGCCATCAGTTTTCATTACCAAAAGACCTCTTAAAATGGAATTATTCCGCTCTACTACATATACATTCTTCCAATGAGCAAACACATTCGGCGGGGGATGGCCATGTTGACATGGCTCTTGTTCATTTATACATTTGTTATTTCAAGGTTTTAGCTATTTTACCATGCTTTATTCATTAATACATTTGTTATTTCAAGGTTTTAGCCATTTTACCATGCTTTATTCATTTATACAACTATTATATCAAGGTTTTAGCTATTTTACCATGCTTTATCCATTTATACAACTATTATATCAAGGTTTTAGCTATTTTACCATGCTTTATCCATTTATACAACTATTATATCAAGGTTTTAGCTATTTTGCCATTCTTTATCCATTTATACAACTATTATATCAAGGTTTTAGCTATTTTACCATGCTTTATCCATTTATATTATTATTTCTCCCAAGGTTTTAGCTATTATTAGCTTTTATCTATTTATACTATTTTGTATTTCAGGGTTCTGTATCAACAACAGAATCAGCCTATGGATGCTTTGCAGGCGTACATCTGTGCGGTGCAGCTCGATAAATCCCATTCAGCGGCGTGGACCGACCTTGGTCTGCTGTATGAAACGTGTAACCAGCCAAAAGACGCTCTTACATGCTACATCAATGCAACAAAAACTGCTAAAGGTTGGTACAGAGGCTTATTTTAATTTACATTACATCCTCTGCAGAGCAATGCACTTTTGGAGGTTTATACTCACAGTGCCTGAAAGGGTGGATGGACCCTCATTAAGCATAGAATACACACACACACAAACACCCTTTTGGTGAACAAAGATTTTCGGTTAAATTTGTTTGTATGTCTTTCTTACCATTGTTGTTGAGAGGTTATTGCTTAACAGAGATTGCAAAAATTCTTTGAAATATGTTAACTCTTGAATATTGGTGGCAAAAATGCCTTGCCTAATGGACAAGTATAGGGCTAGGCCAGCCTGCACTTCGTTTTAATTGTTTAGTGATATCAAACTCGCTTTTCGATAAATCTGGTCAGTTCTTTTTTCAATGCAGACCAGGACTAGTTCATTTTAAGAGTTCAATTTTATTCTTTAATATTATTCTCCAGAATTTCAAATGATGATGACAGTATTGGTTATCATGTATTAAATTTTTCTTTAAGTGTCACGTTTTACAACATGTGATATCTGTCTGCCTAAATTTAGTGCAGCGTTTTATTAAGAAAATATCATTTCTTAAATGATTTTTCTAACTGAAACACACGTGTTCTCTTGACGATTCTTGTTCTTATGGAAATGTGATCTTGCTGACATACAGGTTTTCCTTTATTAAGTTTCTAATGGAAATTTTTTATTTTTTAGTGGTCTGATACCTACCACTATAATTTGAAAAAAGAGAAACTACATTTTTATGCTGGTTTCTGTTCAGTTAAAAGTTCACAACATTAACCCTTACCCGCTAAATATCTTAAATGGACTCGTCCATCTTTCAATCTGGGTCAGACCATTCAACATATTTAGGGAAAATTTCAAAGTATTTACTGATTGAATAGTGAGAACAGCACAGATCAAGATCAGACGACACGGACATGTAAGCTGACCTTGGTCTGCATTGGTTGCATGGTTTCTTTACATGTAGCTGCCAGAAGGGTTTATATATTTGTACAAGACATACAAATTTTTGTGTTACATGTACATGGCATGGCTCTATTTATTTGTGTTTACTAATTTTAGTGGCAATTTTTGTGATAAAAATAATAATAATTAATTTATTAATGAATCTATCTCTGAAGGCAAAATGAGGATTTTCAACCAAATGGTCTAATACAGTCAATCTGAAGCACTGAAGCACTCTAACAATCCCACAGTTAGTATAATGTTAACAATTTTATATTCTGTATTTCACACTAATATTATTGTTAACTGTATTTTGTTTTTTCAGGAGGAATAGTAAATCCAACTTTGAATGGAAAAATAAAGTTTTTGCAGCAACATCTCTCCAAAATACCCATGCAACATCTACAAAACAAGTAAGTAGTCACTTAAATACTAAAAAAACTTAATTTCACTTTCAGCTAGCTTGTTTTGATGACATCAACTGTGATGTCATATTTCATGTTTTTGCATGTGCTTGCTTATGTTCAGCAGGCCGATTATGATCATGACTTTTTTTTTGGCCACGGGCTGCAAACTCGTATTTAGTCATTTAACTCATAACCAGCCGAGATCATGGTTTAACTTTGTTAGTATTATAAGTAACAAGTACATTAATACCTAACTCTATCTTTGAAATTCCAGGCCAAAGACATTACCCAGTATAGAAGAGGCTTGGGCCCTTCCTATACCTGCCGAACTTACATCTAGACAAGGCTCAGGGACACCACACACAGTACAGAAATCACCTTTGATGCCACAATCGGGTGGGGCAAGTCCGTCTCCAGGACAACAGAACTTTGCCGGTCAAGGTCCAATGCTTGATGACAAGAAGAAAAAAATGCAACCTCGGAAAAGGGTAAGTTTTGAAACTATATATTTGTGTCGCGTCACAGCAAAACCAACATAATGGGTTTGCGACCAGCATGGATCCAGACCAGCCTGCGCATCTGTGCAGTCTGATCAGGATCCATGCTGTTCGCTTTCAGACCCTATAACAAGTAGAGAAACTGATAGCGAACAGCATGGATCCATGCTGGTCGCAAACCCATTATGTTGGTTTTGTCGTGATGCGGATCATTTGTTGGAACATTACAGTAATTTCTGTGTGTAGGCATTCTTGTAGTACAACGTATATCATTTCGTGTTGATATCATTAACTTATTTAAAGTTTTAATAGATATTATGGTTTTCTCTCATAATTATAGATAAGGTAAATGTATTTTAGGTACAAATAAACATGTTGAATAAGAATTTTTAACAGAGGAGGGTTAACACTGTATGCGCTGTTTTACTGTTTCTCATTCGATTTTAAATGTTAGCTTATAATCTTCAAATATTAAGTATTCATGTATCTTGCATTTACTTCTACCCATGTTTTTTTAACTTTGGGTTCAGGGAATTCGAGGCTAAAAATGGAGTTTTCAACGTTAGGAATTGTTCTTGAGCTGTGTTAGAGTGGTTTTGTTTGGGGAGTATTCGCCAGTTTTAAAATGTTATCCGTTTAAAATCAAAGCTTAAGTAAAACTTTCAGGTTATCTTTTAATATCTGCTACCAGTTTATTTAAGGAGTATTTTCTGATTTCAGCCATCATCAGAATTGTTGGAGACGAGTCCGACATCTCAACAAGGACCTCCACAATTACTGTCACCACATCAGTTACAGATACTCCATCAGTTACAACAAAATCAGGTAACGCCTCTCACACTTATGAACCCTGAGTGGCCGAGTGATTAACATGTTAGACTAGTAATCTAAGGATTGCCGGCCACATGGTTTTAAAACCTTGTCAGGGGCAAGCAGTTGTTTCTTGAGCAAGAAACTTTACATTCATCTGTTAGTACTGGTTGGTTCCGGGAATGGATTCGAGATTGTTTCAGTTTGCTTATAGCTTCCAATACAATCGAACTAAAATAAATTTGTATAAACTAAACGCTTACAAACCCTTAACCTGCTGGGTTGTGTTTCATAGAAAGTCTTAAGTCTAAAATTTCCATTTTGACCAAAAATCAAGACAGTTTTGGGTATAAAAAAAACCCGCCTAATTTATGACTCTTATGTTAAGATTTCTTCGATTTCTAAATAGCACTGCAGGTGAACACTAACACATGGCTGATCAAAGTGTATGTCATTGTACCAATAGTTCTTCAATAAACTTTTCTCAGGAGAATGAATTTAAACAGAATGCAAGTCTTTGACTAAAGATAAAAATATTTATTGAAATGGTCTTAAGTTAGTCCTTAAGTTGGTCATAAGTCTTATGACTTATCTTACCATTAAATGCAGCCCAGAAACTTAAATAAGTAGCCTTTGTCACCAGTATAGAGCCAGGCCAGTTAGCACTTCTGTGCAGTCTGACCAGGCTGTATACTTATGGTAGCTCAATTTTAATATTTGGATCTTGAAATTCTGTAAATTAAAAAAAAAAAAAATACTGTACTAAATTGACAGCTTTACAAATCCATTAACAAGTTACGCAGATTGAAGGTTCAATGATCCATTCATTACATACTGTCAAGATATGTTAATGATATAGACTTGGTTAAAGCACTTCTAGCTTTAGTTTAGTACCCATGTAATTTTATGGAGGAAACTTATGACATTCAAACCTGTGGATCTTTGAAGTTCACTGCACAGCTTTGGTTTGTTTGGTGACTATTAATACCCTGTTAGATTTGTGTAATAGAAATGCTTGGTTATAATTTGTGAAAGTTTAATTGTGATTTATGAAAGTTCAATCATGACTTGAGAAGCAAGATCACCTCTTCCCTGATTATCATTACTATTGCCGCTGGCGCAACATGTCTACATCTTAGTGAAGGGGTGTTTGACATAGTAGGGAGATAGATTGTTAGCTTAGTTATGTAATAATCATTATTTTGTATTACAGGCGAACCTTGATCCAGCACGACGCCAGTTACTACAGGATCTACAACATCAGGTGTATTTACAACAACAGCATGCAAAAATGCAGATGCTCAATCAACAGGTAATTAATTATTGGGCGGAGTCACACTCTCACAGAATGGTCATATGACACTTTTCCAGCTTTCCTGTTGGAAGGATAAGGCCTCAGTGGCAGAGTGGTGAAGATCGTTGACTTCAAACTACTTGCCAGTCACCGCTGTGGGTTAGAATCCTGCCAGGGGCGTAAAGTGAGGAAGCTTTCCAGTTAGCTTACAGAGTGTTGGTGGTTCTACCCGGGTGCTTGATTGTGACTGAATATTGCACAAAAGGGCACTTGAGTTCTTTTTCCACCAATAAAGCTGAAAAATTGCCAAAATGACCATTACAATGTTGGTGTGAATTTAAATAAATGTAATGGACAGTCAAAAATGGAAGCTTGACAAGTCCAGCAATTCAGAAATTCATCAAGTTAAGCATTAAAGACTGATTATCTAAAATAAGTCACATAATTTAAGGGCAATATCTATTCTTACCATGATCATCAGCAAGTTTAAATGGTATAAAAATATACATTTTAAAAACTCATTTTTAAGTTGCAAAATATTTGTAAGCTTTTGAACTAATGTTTTTATATACATTCTCTTGGTAACACTTGATGTATATGAATTAAAAAAAAAATTATGGATATGGTTTAATGTTGACTTGTTAATAACGAGGGTTGACCGCAAGACTGATGTAAGTCCTTTATTTCATTTAAGTACTGCAGTTTTGCGGTCAATCCTCAAATTAAAGGAGACATGTCCAAAAAACAATTGTAAGGCACTTTTAAATATTGTTTTTGAATAGCTATTTATATCAATTATTAACTGAAATACTTTAGGGCCAGGGCCAGATGTCAGGGAACTCTACCCAATCTGCAGGGATATTTGGTGCCCAGCCCCAAGTTGGATCTCAATCCCAGCAGCCTTTCTCTCCGCTGGGAACCAGTGCCGAAATAAGGGGAAACAACCCCAACTCTCAGGGACATTTGCCATCAAACATTGAACGATTCTCACAATTTCATCCAAGCACAAGTGGGAATTTCACAAGTTCACCTTTAAAAGGACCACCATTGCCATCAGGGTTTGACCCTGGACGTTCCCAAGGTCAAATCCACGGTAACATTCCATTTCCATCAACATTGTCTCAGGGTTCTGAAGGTGATTCTAATTTATCGAAATCGCTGGATAGTGCGCATACTGTTAATGAGAAAGACATTACGGACGTACTGTCGCGGCCCGACCTGGCGTCGTCCATCGCGGAGGATTTGTTAAAACAATTTTCGCAGAGCAGTGAGCATTCTCATAGTGATATTCAATCTAGTCAGAGCAAAGTGTCAGCTGACTTGCGAACTGGTGAAAGTAGTTCTGCTGGTGTAGGGATACATTCCAGTTCATCTCAGGATTTTAATCTAAGTGCGCCGAGTATAGAAAAAATGCTGAAATTGGACAGTGAAGTCATTAAATGTGATACAGAATCGGCCAAATACGGCTCTCTTCCTAAATTAAATATACATATGTCTGGGGAACAGATTTTAAGGGCCTGTAAAGGACTTGGTAAGTTTGACTTTCCTTTCTTTAGCCACGTTTCTTATTTATATTTTTTATTTTAATTATTCAGTCTATGAAGTGTGTTTTATTTATTATAGTATATATGTTTTGATCAGGTTTTAGTTATAAGTTTGTTTGAAATTTTACCTATATTCTTGAGATTGGGAAAGTACGTTTTTACAAAACTGGTATGAGTAAAGGGTTAATGCACTTTTTTTTTGTGCATTAACAACTACAGGAGCACGTTGACACATTTAAATGGATTTAATAAGTCTGGGGGCTTGTAGATGTAAATGAACTAAAAAAAAAGCGCATTTGTGCTATTCTTGCATAAAAATAAATATATAAATAGATAATTCGAAGTTTTGTTATCCGTATTTCATGTAAGGACAAGGGCATGCTTTCCATGTGCTATTGCCTTGTCATTTGACAGTTATGTTTCCATAATAAAACTACTGGGGCTACCATTGCATAAAGCTGTTTGTACATTGTGCCATGTGTCGTTGGGCTGGTACAACTTCCTTATTCAGGTTTGAAAATGGCAAGGTTACCAAACTAGCAAGATTTGCTTTTAAAGTTCAGTGCTAATTTCTATGACTTAAAAAAGATTATTTCTTAAACCAATATGGATGTGACCAAAATATGGCTATGAAGTAGACCTAAAACCCTATTGTTCTTGGTTTTGTATTTGTGGGATATATCTATTTATTTGTTATCTAAATGTATAATATCAAAATGCTATCAGTGTCTTTTTTTTATTAAAGTCCACTATAACAAGGTCAAGTACAAAAATGATATTTGTTTTTCGAAAAAACAAATTATCACAATTGTAATTATTGTTTAAATCAGTAGCAGTAATCAGTTGTTTATATAGTTATTGATAGTGACATGTTATTGTATATCAATTTTTATCTGTTATGAGGTACATATAGGATACCACATGAGTTGCCATATGATATAAAACTTTGTTCTATATGACAACATGTGTTGCATTCTTTTAAAGTGACTCCACTCAGGTTTTTTTGACATGGTGGGACTGCAAATAATTTTTCAAGATAAATGCTCTATTTGATGTAAGTCTAGACATAAAACTTCTGTGCAATATTTCAGATCATTCACTCACTCCATTTCTCCAGAATAATTATTGTAATTATGAAAAATGACACATATATTAATTGGCTTAAGAATAACACAAAAATACAATTTTCAATTTTTTTCTGGGTATATTTCTTAATCATCTTTTGCATATCTTTCTGTATTGAGTGTCCCAGCTGATCTATGTAAGAAATTTAAATTTTATGTTTTTAAGATTTTGAACCTCAGTGGAGTTCCTTTAACCGTATGACTGTTTTTCTGATGAAATATCTAGGCTAAAATGACCGCACGATGTTATCCTGTATATGTATATTAAATACATGTGTAATATAAAGAGATACGTAAGGGTCATGTTACATGATAAAAAACAAGCTATGTCATGTGCAGTAGACAAAAAAATACAAACCAGTGATTGTGCTATTCAGTAATCTTGGTACATTTCTATTTTTATCAAAGGTAAAACTGGTATAACAACAAGTGTTCTGGGAGACAGACCTCCGCCACGCCCTCCAAGTCCACCCAGGCCACCACTCCCCAAAGATCAACTCAATCCCCCAACACCTAGTGTATATGTAAGTATTAACTGAGAAAAGCAAATATGATACATGATTTATATATATACAAACATAGGAAAGTTTTTTAATTAAAAATTTAAGAGGACTTTTTTTTCTTCAACTTTTGTGATTATATTTAAAGAACTTTTAAAATAAAAAAGATTTAAGCAGTTTAGAAAATGTCAGTTCTACCACTGTTGATTGTGTTTCAAAAGCAAAAACTAAGCTATCAAGAGTAAAATTATATGCATATATATGAAATAACAAAAGGATATCTTCATCTGATGTCAATAAACTAAATTATATAATAAATGTCATAAAGTAATCCCCTTGTGGCTGAAGGGTTGCCTTTAAAGGTTGAGGCATCAGAATTGCAGCCACCATTTATCCCTGCATGATCATAAGAGGCGACTAAATGAGTTTGAATTATTGGAGTCTATGCATCTCTTAGCTCCAACAGGTGAGGTAGTTTTGACCCCTGGTGTTGCAAATTTAGTTTTGTAACACCCAAGGTTAGCCAAAATATCATCTTTTCTGTTCTGGCTCCATATGACCTACATTGTGTTTTTGTACTGTAAAACTAAACATAAAGAAAAGTACTTCTCAGCAAAATGTAGTTCCAACATATTTCTATTTGAAATTATCATACAATATTGCATGGTGTTTGTATTCAGTAATTCACTAATCACTGAGGCTTATGGCCATCATAAATACATATCTGAACATTTGAATTTGAACTATGCAATACTAATATGCAAAATAATTTATCTATTTCCTTAACATTTCTGATATTATATTTTTCTAGCTGGAATTTAAGAAGGACGCCTTCTCTCCAGAACTTCAGCAGTATTGTCAGTCCCAACCAGTGGTGGTCATCCGAGGTATGGCGGGAGCACTGAAACTGGGTAAGTTGGTTTGTCTTTTCCTCTAGACGAGTCTGATGTAGACTTCAAACTACTTGTCCCTCATCGCTGTGGGTTCGAATTTGGACAGGGACTTTGGATTGTTACATGTGAGGAAGCTATGCAGCTAGCCTATAGATGTCAGTGGTTCTGCTCAGTTGCCTGTTGGTGCCTGAAATAATGAACGGAAAGGCATATGAAGTCTTCCTTTACCACTTAAGCTGGAAAGTCGCTATGTTACCTATACTGTATTGGTGCAAAGTAAAACCAAACCAAAACAATAAAAAATAAAACACAGGTCTGATCTAATAAGCATGAAACTCCGTTTTTCCCAGATTGATATATCAAAATTCTCAAATTTGGCTGCAATTACAACCCTTATTTTCTTCAGTTTACTCTATGCAATTTTCAGTTTTGATAACAAAAATTTTATAAGTTTGGTCACTTAAAAATTCATTATTTGGATGACAAAATAATTTCACAGTTGTGACAACATGGAACAGTTCACATAGAATATAAGTTATTGTAAAATGTCCAGCTTAGAGATGATCACTGAGACATAAGTAGATAACTCTGTTCTCTTTAAAACCTAAATGGATCAACAGTTGTCTTTCTTACTCTGAACATGACATTAAACATTAAACATAATTCAGTATGGCTTCATTTAATTATTTGGAGATGCCTGTTGTTTCTGTCAACCTTTCATGGGATGATTGTCCTTTCTCAAGCCTTTTGTGCCATTATTGGCCTCATAAGGTAGAAAAATGACTTGTAAATCAATTATAAATCTAAATAAACAACTTGTTTTCTCAAAGATAAGTAGAATTTGATTTTCAAGGAATTTACCATATAGGGAAGCCTTTGGTGAAGTAGAAATTGATTTTCAAGCAACTTAGCTTATAGGGAAACCTTTGGTGACAGTTTTGCTACTTTGTGAAAGTTGTCGAGATTTTTTAATTATAACTATTATATTAACATCTAAGTTCAGGAAGTAATCTACGTGTAGTTGGTGTTTTAATCTTCTTTTCGGTAGCTGTGCAAAAGATTTTGTAACCTGTATTTATACACCCTGTCAACATTTTGATCAGTTATTAATCAAATCTGTTATATTGCACAGACTTGGGGTTATTTTCCACGAAAAGTCTTGTAGAAGCCAACGCGGAACATGCCGTTGAAGTTCGCACACAGAAGATGCAAGCACCAGATGAGAACAGGGACCAGTTTGGCAATAAAGTCTGGCACTGTGACAGCACTCGGAACCACACGTCTATAGCCAAATATGCCCAGTACCAGGCAGCCAGTTTTCAGGAATCATTAAGGGTAGGTGCTATTGGTATTATAATCCAGTAAAACTAGGTTATAGCGAACTTGTCTGGACCATGACATTTTTGTACACTGTATCCAAAGTTTCTTATAACCAATATCTGGAATGATTTTCATGAGATAAACAACCAATTATTAGCAAACATAACTATGGTATATATATATTAAACAGCTTATTACATGCACCACAATCTGAAAGTTGTTATTCATTCTGAATATCATAATGCATGTATTTTGTTGGTCAAAAATAAATTTAATGTGTGATATACATGTACATGTGTTTGAATCAACTTGTTACCTTCGGCCTCTGTTGCTGAGTGATTATGGTCCATGGCTTCTAATTACTTCTTCCTCATGGTTGTGGGTTGAAATCCTATCAGGGACATATTATTTTATGTAAGGAAGCTACCCAGCTAAGTTTGAGCGGGGTTTGCAATACTACTCAAATACCCTCTTGTAATGAAATAATGCACTGAGTGACACTTAAGCATTCCTTCACAAAGCAGGAAAGTTGACATATTGACTTGCTGGCTGGAGTTTTTGCGTCTTTTTCAATCTTTCCATATGATTATAGACATTTCTGTGTAGTTTTTGTTACATTAAAATTTTCGATTACTTTAAAAAATAAAAAAGTGTTTATTTTAATCTTGATTAATGAAATTTTTGTATTTCCAGGAAGAACAAGAAAAGGCTAAAGGAATATTTAAAGAATCTGACAGTGATTCCAACTCATCTATATCATCTAAACTGTAAGTTCATTTACAAAATTTCTAAATATTCTTTATATAAATGTGCAAGGCTAGCATCTTTAAAGATATACTATGCTCATACTACAGTAAATTTTTTTTTTTCAACAAAAGTATTGAAATGTATAAATTTCTTACTGAATATTTCTAATTTGAATAACAGAATGAATAAACTATGTATGTATCAAATAGGGCTGGGGCGAGTATCCGAGTACTGGATAATCACGAATCAAAGTGAAAAATCGAGTTTGAATATTCGTAAGCCCAGAGATCGGGGATCGCGATCTATTTTTTTTTATATACATTTACTGTTTCTCACACTCTTAAAATCGAGAAAAATACGATTTGAGTATAAATTATGTGAAGTTTACCTGAATACAATTTGCCGGTTAAAGACCATGTACCATGATGATGAGCTAGGAAGTAATTGGTTTCAAAAAACAAAACAAAAATACTCACCCAAAGAATAAAAACATAAACCTAGTTTATAAATTTATATATTTAATGTAAGTATTGTTTTTTTTAAAAATAAACATGTTTTTTATAACTAATGTACATGTTTTTATGGGTGTCTTGATAACGAAAGATTTGTGGTTCGATTTGTGAATCGTAAGTGCTGAATCGTGGTTCGGATCGGATCGTCACTTATCCGACGATCCACACCCCTAGTATCAAATTTGAGCATAGTATCTCTTTGACCAGCTGAAACAGTAAATGGTTAGCCTGCAGTCATCTTTTAGCTGACAAACTTCAATGTAATATCCCCAATATTGTAAATAATCAGTTCTAAAACTGGAATTAGACAATTCAGTAGATTAAAAGTTTACACCAGTTCTATTTTATTGCAGTCGTAAGAAGCCAAAAATGATAAAGTTTGGAACAAACGTGGATCTGTCCGATCATAAGAAATGGGAAGTACAACTGAAAGAGTTGGCAAAGTTACCGGCGTTTTGCCGTCTTGTGTCAGGAAGTAATTTACTCAGTCACATCGGGCACACAATCCTTGGTATGAATACCGTACAGCTTTATATGAAGGTCCCAGGATCCAGAACTCCAGGTGATTATTCTATTTGTTTTAATTGTAAACTTTCTGTCTAAATAGGGACGCAACTTTTAACATAATGTCTAAATATGGACAGCAACTTTTAACTTTTTGTCTATATAGTAACACAAGTGTTAACTTTTTGTCAAAATAACAACCTTTTGTCCGAATGTTATTTTTTTGTCAGAAATTTTACTAATCTTTAAACATTTTTGCCTGAATGTTGACACAACAGTTAACTTTTTGTCTAAATGTTAGCATAACTGTTAAGAATTTGTCTGAATATTGATTTTTGACTAAATATGGTCACAATATGTCACAACTGTATCAACTGTGCACTATAAGACCTTGGTGATAGATATAGTAAAGTACAGTGTATAATATTTATTATGACTGAAATAATTAACATTTTGTTTTTTTTTATATCTAGGTCATCAAGAGAATAATAGTTTCTGCTCTGTGAATATTAACATCGGTCCAGGTGACACGGAATGGTTCGGTGTACCGGAACAGTACTGGGGCGTTATTCACAACATGTGTGAAAGGTGAGAACATTTACATTATTTTTTGATAGGAAAATGTGATAAGTAGTTGGAATTAAACGAAACAGGATTTTTGAGCTGGCACAGTTTTCCATTAGTAAGACTTTCCATTAGTAAGACTATCTGAATACAATGCCAATGAAAGTACAATCAGGATTTTAATTTTCATCTGAGGCAACAGATGTGCCAATGATTTAGCCCTATTTGGCCATGGGTCCAAAAAAAGAAGATATTTGGGTTTGGATCTACAGGCTGAAAGTACAACCGATTTTAATAACATTTGAACTGATGAAATGGATCGCTGATCTGTTAATAATGAAAATCCTATCAATCCCCTTCTACCTACAACATAAAATGCTTACTTTCCAAAGTGAAATTTAAAATGAGGTCCTAAAAAGTGTGTGCTATTCACGATGTATGTTAGAGAAAAAAACAAACACAGTTGTTCTTTCTTGAATGGAGTAATTTTTCTATCAGTAACACTATCCTCCAAAAAATAATGTTATTTATGTTTTCTGAAGCAACTGGGCGATATGGGCTTTTGATTTTCAACTATGAATTATTAATATCATACAGATTGTTTCTCAATTAAAAGCTTGAATTACTTGTAAGATTTTTTTTTTTTGATGAGCAGGAAATATGTTTCGTGCCTTTCCTTGTTTACTGTAAACATAAAGAAACACCCCATGTTTATGATAAATCATGACTATATTGTATTTACCTTTATATCATGTAGGAACGGAGTTGACTATTTATCCGGCTCTTGGTGGCCAGTACTGGAAGACTTGTACGAGGAGGATGTACCAGTGTACCGGTTTATACAGAAACCCGGAGATCTTGTCTGGGTCGGCACTGGTTGCGTGCATTGGGTACAAGCTATTGTAAGTAATAGCCTACTGCAAGGCTTTGTTTGTATTTATCTTTTTTTATTCAAACTTATAACATTGTGTTTCAAAGTTTGCGCCCATTACCACCATGCAATGGATCTCCCTTCTGTCATAGTTCCCTTGTGGCTGAGGGGTTGCCTTCACTGGTTGTGGCATCAGAATTGCAGCCACCATTTATCCCTTTGTGATTGTAAGAGGCGACTGAATTAGCTCCAGCATGTGAGGTAGGTTTGAACCTCTTGTGTCGCTTTTAAGACTGTAACACCCAAGGTTAGTCAAAATCACCTTTCATGTTTTGTCGATATATGACCTTAACTGTGTTGGTATTGCTATTAACAAACAAGATTTTACTTGTATTCATATATCATCAGTAATTACCTTGATATCATAAGTACTTTGATATTAGTGTGAATTATGTTCTGTAAAATTCACTTACTTTCATGTGCATCATATTTTGGGGTACATTCAAACAGGACATTTTTGTGGGTTCTTAGATTCATAAAATGTCTGTTTTGCAAAAACAATGAAATGTAAATATTGTTATGCAAATAATCTTACAGCAGAAAAAATAAATTTCATTGGACGTTAAATTCATCGATTGGCGTATATACGAAAACAACAAAAGTGTGTGCCCCACAAATAATGATTTTTCAGTATGGTTTTTGGCGTACGTATATAGAAGATGTTTGCATTTTGTGATTTATTTTACAGGGTTGGTGTAACAACATAGCATGGAATGTTGGACCAATGACAGCGCGGCAGATCCAGTCCGGTCTAGAGAGATACGAGTTTAACAAATTACAGAACTACAAATCTATAGTCCCGATGCTTCACCTTGTCTGGAGCATCGCAAAAAATATCAAAACTTCCGACCAGAAGATGTTTGAAACCATCAAGTACGTAATATCGCATACTTTACCTTTAGTCTGTTAGATTTATAAAATAGACTTGTCCAGTTTCCATTTTTGGAAAAATTCATTTTCAATATTACTGGTTATGACAGCTAAACAATTTGGGTTCTAGCAGATTAAAGCTGCGCTGCATGGCTACTGATGAGCCAAAATATATCAAGAAAATCAAAGTTGGGGAAAAACATATAAAGTTTGTAAGAAAAGTAAAATAATTTAAGATTCTATTAATGATTTATATCTTGTGTGCGATTTATGACTTATTTTGCAGTATTTTCACTATATTTCTACCACACTTCTAGCACTGTAAGAGCAATTTTAAGATTTTTTGACCTCTTTTTGGTAATTTACGTGGATTGTAAGTGCCATCTGCAATGTATTAATTACTTTCTTTTTTCACAATATTTTACTTTTAAATACGTTTTCAAAATTTTCATGAAAATTAGGATGAATCTTGAGGCATAATCCTTAAATGGTTAATACCAAAACATTTTTGTCACATTGTTCAACTGGTCAAGAAAATAATGAATTCAACATTTCTTGCTATTTTTTCATAATCAATTATCTTTTTGTTTACAATTTAAAAAAAAGAAGAAAAAAAAGAATGCAATATGCAAACAGTTACGACTGAGTTATTTTTAGTATTTTGATCAAGAATATAGTTTATTTCCTAGTTTCCAATTAATATTTACCAAGTTTTAGTATAACTTTGAGCACCTCTGAGATTTGGCTCTTGTCTGCTTTTCACAAGTTACTTCCCTTTAATTAGAAATGTGAAACATGATTTACAAATGTTATCACAAAAAGCCCTTAAGTCTTTAAAACATCAATTTCTTTTATCTTTTTTTTCTGGCATAGACAATAGTTATATATTTAAATATCCTGCTTTAGATATTTAGTTTAAACATGTTTATTTCAATATTTCACATATTTTACATTTTATATGTATATAATTATTACATGAAATTGAAAGGGATTAGAACAAAAGAAGACATATAGTTCCTCTCCCTGGATAACAAATGATATTTACACAATCATATATAGCAGGATAGCTATTTCATTTAAATTATAAAGTTAGAATATTGCAAGATTTAGCTGTCACAGTCACATTTTCCAGTGGAAAGAAATACCACAATCAACCATTTTTTACAAAAAAATCACTGCTTGTTTTTGTATTTGCAGAACTACACTGTTGAATTCACTACGGCAAGTTCAATTGACGATGGATTTTGTAGAAGCGATGGGTCACGAGATAAAGTGGCATGGCCGCGTGGAGGGAGAGGCTGCTCATTATTGTAATGTTTGTGAGGTACGTTATTAATCATTCTTGACGAACTTTCAAAAAAATTTCCAAAAAAAAATTTCAATAAGAACTGGCAAAACAGTTGAAACAAAATAAGATTAAAAACTTGATTTTAGCAGATTGTTGTTTAAGGGCCATCCTACTATCCTGTGCATCAGTGAAATGCTTTTCACTCAAATTGGGCTAAGGATGGCTGAAAAATGCAATTTTTAATTTATTTCCAAGTATGTTTCTTATTTATTTTTTTGTTAAGTGCCCAGTTGATAAAATAAGACGTTATGTTTTTAAGCTTTTAGAGCTCAATGATGTTCCTTTAAAGTACAAAAATTAAGCTGCCAAAAGTATAAAGCCTGGTCAGAGTGCACAGAAGTGCCGGCTGGTCTGGCTGTATACCGGTGACAAATGCTAGTCACTTTGAGTTCCGGCAGGTTACGGGTTAATCCTCTTGTTTAGTTTAAATACCATTCTATAAATAAACAATCTCGTTACAGGTGGAAGTATTTAACATCTTATTCGTGAAGGAACAGGATAACAAGTTTGTTGTGCACTGTCAGGACTGTGCGAAGAAAATCCACCCGCGACTAGAAGGTTTTGTCGTACTTAATCAGTATCGTATAGAAGATCTCATCAACATATATGACAATTACTCGCCAAGATCACCAGTAAGCTAGCTTGTATGTCCTTTCTTTCTACATATATTATATGACTTAATAATTTATTATATATATTGATTATAAGATCTTGTAAACATTTTTTTATAAAATAATGGGATTCTTAACAGAACGCCCCAAACAGCAAATTTGAAAATGATGCAGGCTCCGATCTAGCGTTCGCTGGTTTTATCGTAGGGTGTGGCGAAAGTTAACCATGATAACTGATTTTGAATATTGAGTTATCTCTCAATGAAAAAAAAAAAAAGTATGTGATATTAGTTGTTGGTCTGTTGCAGAGAAATTGGTAACCAAACCACTTGCCCCTCACCACTGTGGGTTTAAATTTTGACAGACTTTGGATTTGTTTTATGTAAGGAAGCTATCCAGCTAGCTTACAGAACGTCAGTGGTTCTACCACATTCCAGATTGTGCCTGAAATAATGCACGGAAGGGTATCTGAGGTCTTCCTCCACCAGTAAAGCTGGAACGTCGCGATATGACCTATACTGTGTCGATGGATGTGACGTAAAACCCAAAACAAACAAACAAAAAATAATGCACGAAAGGGCTTCCGGACTCTTCCTCCACCAGTAAAGCTGGAAAGTCGCCATATGACATCTTTTGTGTTGGTGTGATGTAAAACTCAACCAAAAAAACAAAAATGTTTATTGTTGTACATGAACACTATGAACAAAACAATCAAAATTACAACAGAAAATAACGCACACAAAAAAACAACAACAAAAAATATTGTGTTCAAGTTTAAAGTATAGAATCACTTTGTAACGATGACCTGCGGATTTGTTTTCTAGCTCAAGCAGTCTCCAAACTTTGCGGTACAATGTAAAAAATATGTACGATTGTTTTAATATTATTTCAGGCGCTGGCACTTTCCTGAGACTTCACTCAGCAACACACGTAATCATCATGCGATTATCATACTGGACATCGTTTTTTTTTACGAGGACATTTGACACACAGTGTAAACAGCTTGCCATCAAGAGATTATATAATAGCAACACTTTTTACATCATACATGTATAATGAGATATAAACTATATCATACATCAGCGGTTTTTATTATACTCATCGAAAAAAACAACACAATACAAATCATGAAAATAAGCACCTGTGATGGAACACTATATATTTAAGTTATTTCAGGTTTTATAGTCGGTGACATTGTATCCTGACCAGTATTCTACAGTATATGATATAATCATTGTATCTTAAGCTGCGTAATAATATATAATTATGCTCATTATATTTATACTTAGGCCAAGTAAAAAAAAAAGTTTCGTTTTTTGCGCCTCCTTTACGTACCCTATATTTATTTATGAATTGACGATTTTGGACCATTTCTTACCCTCTTTCCTAGATTTCAAAATCTGCCGTACAATATCTATTTAAAATACTATGAAAATAAAAAATTAAATTAAAAATAGAAAGAAAAAAAAAATTGTACCTTTTTGTCCCTTTTTTTGCAGGAGACAGGGAAACAAAACTCTTTTTTTTGGTGTTATCCTTGTAATGAGTGAAACACGGAAAAATGCATCGTCTGAACAGACCATTACATTAATCACAAATCAATACATCTTGAATGCTTTGTTTTTCATTAAATGTTGAATATAGAAACAATAGACATAGTCCTCATTTGTACGTATACAAAAGAATAATGATACATGTGTTTTGTGTAGTCAATATGAGGTATTGTATATTAGAAGTAGATTTATAGCTAATGTTTGATACCTTAAGTACATAGTGACTAGATGTAACAAATTATAGTCAAACCTGTTTTTTAAAGACCACCTCTGAAATTACGAATCACCCTGTGAATAAAAACCATTTGAGCCGCGTCATGACAAAACCAACATAATTGGTTTGCGACCAGCATGGATCCAGACCAGCCTGCGCATCAGCGCAGTCTGATCAGGATCCATTCTGTTCGCTTACCAGCCATATTACAAGTAGAGAAACTGATAGCGAACAGCATGGATCCTGATCAGACTGCGCGGATGCGCAGGCTGGTCTGGATCCATGCTGGTCGCAAACCCATTATGTTGGTTTTGTCATGACATGGCTCACTTCATTGATCTAAGAAATATTTATTATTTCAGCAGAGTAAAGGTTAAACTTGGGTAGTTGATTTTTATTGAACAGATGATAAAAAAGCAAATGCAGTCATGGCAATATGGTCTTTTTGTTTTGTAATTTTTGTATTTTGATTATGAAATAATCCATGTGCTGAATGTGAAAACATAGTTATGTGTGTACAAGTAGTTGAAAAACACATAGATTTCTCATAAATGATTTTAGGTGAAAACATATAGATTTATTTATAAATGATTTTTAGGTGAAACACATAGATTTATTTATAAATGATTTATTTCAATCACATAGATTCCTCATATCAATGAATGTCGTCACAACTTACAAATAGATTTCTTAAAGATGATTTAGTATAAACACATAGATTTTTCATGAATGATTTAGTAAAGAAACCCAAGCACATAGATTTGTCATGAATAATTTAGTAAAAAAAAACACCAACACATAGATTTCTCATCAGTGGTTTATTACAAACACATAGATTTCAGTGATTTAGACTAGTACCATGCTGTTATATGTTAGTGCATGTTAGATGCTACATTAAAACTATACAATCAAGGCCAAATTACAACATCAGGAGATGATGACGATGGCAGGGAAGTATTATACAACCAGCATATCATGTATACTTAATTCATACATTTATAATACTGCACGTTTGTAACATCCATTCTCATTGGATGATTGTTTACGGTATATAATCAGTATACTTGTAACATTGATTCTCATTGGATGATTTTGATGTATATTTATTAATATACTTGTAAGATTGATTCTCATTGGATGATTTTGATGAAAATTATCAGTTTGCTTGTAACATTGATTCTCATTGGATGTATATTATTAATATACTTGTTATACTAAATCTCATTGGATGATTGTGACAAATACAGTATATTATCAATATACTGATCTTGCTGAATCTTTTGAATTAATTTATTTTATTTTGAGTCAAAATACAACAATTGTGCAGTATTATAAATTGGTAATAAAGTCATTTGACAGGTAATATGGCCATGTTTGAATGATTAATTGATATTTAATCCAAGCTTATATAACATCGGGTCATATAAACTAACAACTGCCTATACAAAGCCATATAACCTGTCAAAAAAAAATCTTTACAAATAATTGCATCAATCAATTCTAACCCTAGCCCCCCCCCCCCCCCTCATCTGGGGGGGGGGTTTGGAGGGATTAGCCACGTTTTTTACCGTCCGTCTTTTGTTACAACACTGCTGGCTCAATAAGGCAGTTCTATTTCATTTTCCACAATAGTTGGAATATATCCAAAGTACAGTATTCTTTCTTATAAAAGGATTTTTACCATATAACTGTCCCAGCCTTTACTGCAGGTTCGATCATTCAAATGTCAAAGTCCCCCGATATTCTCCATGGAGTTGATTGGTGCAAAATAACATTCATTGTCCGGCTGCCATATGTACCTCAATATATAAACATCATTGATAAAGTGCTTTATCTGCTTAGTCTCCATCGCGCATACATTTAGAACATCGACCATCAGTTGTATATACGTATATATTATATCAAACAAGGGCTGATAGTTACGTAGAACCTCTGTGTAAGTCACATGACCTTCTGTGTAAGTCAAATAACCTTCTGTTTTGTTAAACTGATATATAGACCTTAATATTTAACTTACATACCTTATGAACTAAAAAAAACGCCATGGAGGGGCTCACATTTTGAAACCTTTAAACACTGACTTGTATATGGTACATGGTTTGACTCCGGTGCCAGCTCATGCCTAAATTAATGGCGCCAGATGTCTGCCTCCACCTTTAAGGCTTGGGAATAGCTATATGACATATTTTGCAGTGGTGGCAAAATCAATTGTTCGTATTGCCCGAGTTGTCCCACAGTCTGTACGGACTTGTGGAAATTTTCGAGAATTTCATATGGGCAAGTTAAGAAATGCTTTAGATAAAAACGAACAATAGAGTCAAAATCAGATTTTGCCAGCCCTGCTTTGTATTTGTATTATTTAATCCCCATCCCCTCAAAAAAATAATTGGTTTTTGTATTCTGGACTGTCCTCCATATTTTTTCTCTCTCTCTCTCTTAAAACTCATTCATTCTGTTTAAATATACATGTACATGAAAAATGAATTTGAAACAAAAAACGCAAGTATTTCAGGGTTTTTTTTTTTCTGAGATTTTTCTGATAAATTTTCCCCTCTGAATCATTGAATCATTCAGTAGAAAAATAAACGTCATTTTTTGCTTATTTTTGCTAATTGTTTAAAGCTGAATTTTGACCATATCTTATAGCATTGTCAGAGGTTGGCCAAAATAAGTGTGTATTTATCAGTTGTTACTGTCCGTTTTAAACCGACGGTAAAGTCATTTTATATAACTGTTTGCTAGGAGGATCTCAATCATGTAATTAATTAATTAATTGATTAATTTAATTAATTAATTGATCATGTATACTATTTATTTCAAGTTTGTGTAAACGTGTATTTTATGTCATGGTAGCCACGTAGATTTTGTTTAAAAAAAAAGATTGATTATAATTATAGTTGATGTATATTTGTTTTAGTACATGATAATATATATATTGTCACCTTAGTGCAATAACTGGTTAACTCTTATTTAATTTATAAGGACTTAGCCCGTTACTGCACTAAGATAATATATCTGTAAACTGACCATTGCAAAATGTATTTATCTCTTCTGCCGTACATAAAAAAGCTTATAATAGTCAGTTTTTCCTACTCATAATTATACATGTATGAATGGTTTTTTTGTCCTGTTTTAACTCTTATTAAGCTAAATATATTATATAAGTGACTTGTCCATCTGGAAATCTGGACAAATCTATTGTTTGTTTTTAGGGACGATTATAAAAAAGGTACTCACTAAATAGCGAACAGTACAGACCATGATCAGATGGCACGGATGTACTGGCTGATCTTGGTCCGCACTGGTGGCATGAGTAAAATCTGTTTGACGAGTAAGCTAAGACTAGATATTAAATAAAACTTTTACCACAATGTATATATATAATGAACTTGGCGTGTTTCAAAATTTGGAAACCTAACCATTGCAATATCAAGTGATAGTTAAAGTTAGACATCCAACAGTATAGACTATAGAGCTTAGTGAGAGTGCGAGGATAAATTTTTTGTGCTTTGAATTCAGAACATACCCCCTTTTTTCCTATTTATCAAAATTTGAAATTTATGCAGCAGGTGGTTTTAAAGGAACTCCACTGAAGTCCAAAAGCGTTAACACATAAAAGATGTTATATCTAATCAGAATTTTAACAGAAAAAATTATGCTGTAACGTTAGTTATTATTATTGTATAAGGTATTGTTGTTGATATACATGTAGCAAATGTATTTAGATGGTTATAACTACCATAGCAAAATGTCCTCTTGTTGTAAGTATAGAAGTTTTTGACCAGCTCATTTTCTATTAATTAAATTTGATAATCCTGCCCGTTTATTCTTCCGGCATGAGGTAACACCCAGTATATATACATGCATGTATATATAAATTATGAATATTAACAGAATTTATTACAGTGTAAATTCATAGTAAATACTGGTCTTTTTAAACCACAGATTTACAGCTCCGTTAAGATTTTTCTTTTCTTTTTTGTTATCAATATTTTCTCAATTCTTTTTTGTTTTTCAGAAAACATCTCCCTTTCAAATATTGTCTTGATTGCAATTTTTTCTTCAGCTACCTTAGTAATATATTAAATTAATTATTTGTTGTCAACCAATGCAATGTTAAATGTTGCTGAGTTCTAGTATGTTGTTGAATATAAGCTTTGGGCTTGAAAATTGTGTCAGAATGAAAAAAATAATCAGTTTGTGTAGCAAGAGTTATCTTTCTTATACATGTATATGTAAAGTCAGGCCTATCTGTAAATTATTTTTGCTTCGATTGTTGTTAAGAGATTAAGTTTGTTAATTGGATTGTGTGTTTTTTCTTGTTTTGATTGATAATTGCTGCGTGCAGGGTACTGCATTGTTTGTATTACTAAAAAAAAAAGACTTATTCAAAGAATAGTTTGATAATTTTATTCTCCCTGTCTTTTGAATCGGTGAAATATTTTGTAAAACGTTTGGTGCATACAAAATTGTTGATCTTTGTCCAAGAATTATAACTCTTGCACGATAATTGACAAGAGTTAAAACTCTTTCTGAGTTCTGAGGACCTTTCAATAATAGTGTGTGTCATGCACGTGTTACATGTATATGTATGCTTTTCAGAATTGGAAACAAAGAAATTTGAGTTTGCAAACTTTTCAAAATATTTTGCTCTTGAAAATTCTTGACGAAATAACGTAGTTGGTGTAATTTCTTACGACTTAGTTAAGATTGGAAGTTTATAATCCAAAACTTATTGTATATACATGTAATATAAATGCTTATATAGAATATATGCTTCTTTAACATTGTTAAATATAGTCTCTTATGAATTCTCATTTGTGGAATCTGAAATGTAAATTTTCAAACAAACTGTATAAAATTAGTAGATACTTAACATAACAAGTTAGGTATATACATTGTAAAGCACCAGTCAAATGTAACCAGAAGTCCCCTGCCTCAGGAATTTGGCGGAATTAGGGTGGGAGAGGGGCCGTGACTTTTGACATTTCGTCTGTTTATAATATTGCAGGTTTGTTTTGGCGCCAGTTAAGAAAGGTTTGGAAAGGGGTTTGAACCTGGAGTCCAGGGGCAGTAAGTTGGGAGTTTAATCATCTGACCATCTCTGCAGGGCGGGACTTTACACCTTTTTACGAGGGTTTGAAAATCCAAAAGTTGACATTTGCGCTTCTAGTTGATAGTGGGGCGTGGTTTAAATTGACTGGTGCATAATTGTATCTTATAGCAGAATTTTATTAAGGACAGTAAGACGTTGCTCGGTAGTAAGAATATGGCCAGGGTACGGGTTTCACTACAGTGTTAATGTATGTCTTATTTATTGCTTCGACTTTTACATGCTCTTATTTTCAACTCAGCGTTATTACACTGTTTTTTTTCCTCTTATTTCTTATTTTTACCAAAGTTTTTTTTATTACTTTTGCCATATTGTCTAGGACTGTGATGTATAAAATTGGCTTTCTTACTACTGGGCAGTGTTGTATGAAAAGTGCTATATTCTGCATGGTGTATTTTTTGTATGGAGTTAATCTTTTATCCTGCTGAATTTTGTGTCATGCATTTGCCCCCCTGTTTTGAATTTGGAACCCTCCATTTTGAAATTTGAGGGAATTTGAATGAAAAAAACCTTTTTTCTTCAAAAATTGAGCTTCTCCAGCAGTATAGAGTATGGTCTGTCGGCATGGACACGCAGGATAGCCTGGCTCTGTATGAGTTGCAAGCCAAAGGCTTATCAATTCTGGGTCCAGCACGTTGAGCTACGAGCAGTACCGAGCCTGGTCAGCCTTGCACGGTTATCACTTTTTGTTTGGCAGGTAAAGAGCTAACCCATTATTATTGAAACTTTATTTTGTACAATCGAGTAGTGTATTTTACTTTGTTTAATTGATACTTCGTTAATTTTATTTTTCTTTGTCTTTGTCGAGCGTTCGTTTTATTTTTCTTTGTCTTTGTTGAGCGCCGCTGTCTCCAATGACAGCTCTTGTTCATATTTAAAGCAACATGCCTCCAGATTTTTGTGATTTTGTTTTCATAATTTGAAAAAAAAGTAATCTTATTTGTTAAATTTTGTTATTACTTCAGGCAGATATTTTACCCTGAGAAATAATCGGTATAGTATCAAAAAAGGCAGAAATAGGCTTTACTCTGTTTGGAGTAGGGTAGAAATATGCTGATTTAAATAGTAAATGATTTCATATTGGTAATTAATTATGCAAAGTGTCTCTTGCGTTATGTATAATTATCCAATTTCTTAAGTTATTTATATATTTTCAAGTTTGATTTTGTTTAATGAAATTTTGTTTACACACCTGGAGGCATGCAGTTTTAATTGATATCCAAATAAATATAATATTGTTAGGACAACTGTATACATGGTTACAGTTGCTGGCAGTATTTCTATTCTTGTGTTGCTATGGTGATTTAATGTACATGGACCCGCAGATGCTGTGTGTATCACTAGATTGTATTATTTCTCTGATATATTTTCTATTTCTGGTCTCCCATTTGTCATAAAGGGATGATGTTTGCCTCTTCTCTTCTTAAGTTTAAAGACTTGATGATTTTACTTTTGCATGGTTATAAGTACAATATGATAATCTTAAGTACAATATGACTATCTGATCTTACATTGAAAACTGTTTGTGTACCTTGCTATTTTTGCATGGTTATAAGTACAATATGATAATCTTAAGTACAATATGGTTATCTGATCTTACATTGAACACTTCTTGTGTATATTCACTACATTGTTATTTTTGCATGGTTATAAGTACAATATGATTATTCAAGTACAATATGATTATCAAAGTACAATAAGATTGTCTGATCTTGGAAACTGCTTGTGTACATGTACATTGTTTTGTTTTTTTGCATGGTAATAAGTAAAATATGATTATCAAAGTACGATATGATATCTGATCCTATATTGAAAACTCCTTCTGTACCTTGTTATTTTTGG